TAAGTATACAGTTGTCTTATTTTTGTATAATGGTGTTCTTATATCTTCCAGGGCTTTTTTGAGATGATCTATTCTAATCTCTTTATTTCATAGTTGGGGAAACTGAGGCCCAGAGGGAAGCCACCCATTTGTCAATAGCCAGGTCAAGGCTCTGGGCTCCTGCCTGAGCTTTCTCTGCCACTTCCTGCTTCCTCTGTCCTCTCCCTGGCAGTCTTGTCTCACTCTCTGTCATTTTGCCTGTCATTTTCAGAGCTTTGGGCCCTCCTGCTATGGGGGGGGGGGAGTGTAGAGGGAGAGGATGTTCACTAGCCCTTGTATAGGCTCTCCCTGCTGGCATTGCAAGGCCCCCAGAGTGCCCTTCAGACAAGTTTGGGTTCTGGGCCAAAGGCTTTGGGGAGGCCTGGTGGGATGAGAGGGAGCTAGGGAGGAGAAAGTTGATGGAAGCTCCTGGGCAGAATAATAACAATGTGCTACCTTGTAGCTGCAGCCCCCTGTTGTGCCTCCCCCAAGCACTTTGCACATGTGATGAAGGCTGGCTGGCTGAGGGTCCTCCAGGGTCTGAGCTCCCACTTGCAGGGACTGCTGTGTGCAGGCGGGTGCACGTTGGTGTCTGTGTAATTAAAAATGAGCATGCATCACCTCACCCAGCAAGAAGATGCCACCACCTCGGGTGGAATGCAACAGCTGCTTGCTGGCTGTGCAGCTGCCTGGGTGTCCGGCCTAGCATAGAGGAATGAGTTGGTGGACTGGGCAGATCAGGGTAAATCGGGGGACAAGTTCCAGGGTCTCTCATCCCAGTGAGGCAGGAAGTAAAGGGCTATGCTGGAGTGGGGATGCTTGGGCAGACCTCTTCCCTTTGTGGGCCTAGAGTTTGTGTAAGAGGTGTGACCCAGTCCTTGGCCTGCACCCATTGCTTCCTTCTTTTGGGAATTTACAACCACCTCGCTCTGAGCAAACCTAGCCTCTGGGCAGCCTGGGTGTGGGATCCAGCCTCAGCTTCCAGCCTGGGCCTGACCTCTTCTGTGTTCCATCCCCTCCCCACCCCTAGCTAAAGCCAGGGCACAGGCTGATATTCAGAGCGCAAAACACTAAACGAGGATAGTTCAGGTCCTCTGTCTTACGTCCCTCCTTCTTCTCCCCTAATTCAGAAAGACCTACCAGGGTAGGCACTGTAGGTCCTGTGGAGAAGCCTCAGCCCAGCATCTTAGTCTGGCCTTGTTGTGGGAGCCCTGAGCTGAGTGGGCTGAATTCTTGCCCCCCTGCCCAGGAGATGAGCTCAGCCTGAGGTACGGAGTGAGTGTGTGGCGTGTTCTCAAGGCAGCTGAGGCAGTGGCACTGTAGTGGCCTTGTGCGAGGTGGGTAATCTGCTCTTTCCCTTGTCTGCCAGCATTCCTGGGTGGGTGAGCTAGTGTTGGTGCAGGGTGGGGTGGTAGGGAAGTACTAGTGACTGAGGTCTCCTAGAAATTTCTGCATCATGGGTGGTGTCCCCCTCTTGCTTTTGCATGTGGAAGGTCTGGGTGGGAGGGAAGGCCTGGAGGTTTGTCTGAGCAACTGATACTCTGAATCCAGTTTCTGGAGGTTCCTGGTGGCACCTTGGCATGATTTGCTGACTTTTTCCTATTTGGTGAATAGGGCTGTGGACATCTGCATTTCTCCCACCTTGGAGAGGGGCCTTATAGTTCCGCCTTATAGTTCCGTAAGTCTGGGGAGTGAGGGAGTGAGCTGCTCTGGGTTGTGGGCTTGTCTGATGGCCAGTGGCTTCAGTGGACAGATCATTGTCCTGACAATGCTTCCACACACTCCTGGCTGTCTGGGCCATGGAAGGGGGTGTTCCCAGGGCTAGGGTGACTCCAGGCCCATTGAGGCTGCTATACCCAACAGTACCACCCAGTGTGGCATTGATTGTTGTCCTTGGTCATTGGCAGTCTCCTCTCCAAGGGCTCCCTGAGGCTATCCAAGGGAAAGGCAGCTGGCCTCACCTTCCTCCAATGATTTTCCAATATTTACCGGCTCATTGACATACTGCCCAGGCCATAGCTCCTGCTGTGCAGTGAGGACCTGAAAGCCACTTCATGGTCACCTTCTCCTTTCAGAGGCTGCACCTGGGGAAAAGGCTTTTCCTCTCGGCCTGATCTCTGAGGGACAGGGTATATGGCTAGTCCTATCCCTTTACCACCTATCCCCAGCCCCCACTGGACTCATTCTTGCTCAGTGTGCAGAGGAGGGAAAAGACAGGAGTCTTCCAGGAAGGGCTATAGGGGCAGCTAGAAGCCCCTTCCCTGCCTGTGGGCCTGGGTTGGAAGTTCACCACTTTGCCTTCTTCCTTCCCCTTCTCCTCTGCCCCTAAGTCTGAATTTTGACAGGACCCAGCATATGTTATAATGATTTGGGGCTGAGCAGTCAATGGAATTTTAATTAGTTCCATATCTCCCTCTAGTAGGGAGGACCAGGAGTCCCCAGGTGGCAGGGGGTGAGACTAGGCTGGGTTTGGGCCTGAGGATGCCCCTTGAGGGGTCTGGGGTACAGGCTTAGACAGCTGGTGCTCCCTGTGTGGGATGCTGTGGGGAGGGAGGGCTGAGCAGGGAAGGAAGCACTGTGTAGCCAGGCCACAGTTTTCTCTCCATCCTCTGTCTCCCCTGTTCCTCTGTTCTCCCCAATGGCTTTGAGATGAAGGCGACGGCAAGGATGGAGGATACAGTTTCCATGGAAACAGGGCTGTCCACAGCCAGGAAACTTCAGAGCTGGGCTCTCTGGAGGAGGCAGATGCACAGAGCAGCCTCAGAGCTGCCTCCCGCCTGCCAACAAGGGGGCTGGCAGAGCAGGTGGCACAGAGTGGCTGCCTGGTGCTGCCCAGCCTAGAAGAGAGGCTAGAAAGAGCACTACTCCCTATAATCATCCCTATTACTGCCAAGCTCCTCCAGAAGGGAAGCCAGAGAGGTGGCCTGAGTGTTGGCAGGGGTTGGGGTAGGGTCCCTATTGTCCCTGGAATCTCTGGGAGGACACAGGCGTTAATCTTTGGGAGCATCCCCAAAAGCCAATTGTCTGCTGCTCTTGAGATGACCAGTGGACACTCAGTTGCTGCCCATTGGACCCTTTGAATGCCCAGAGCATGAGAATGCTGATAAAAAGACCATGCTCTGACTAGATTCAAGGATCCTTTTTCTTCCCTCTAGCTACCAGGGAAGGACCCGGACCTTCAGGGAGCCTCAGGGAGTCAGCCTTCAGGTGACTGATCCTGGCCTCAGTCACCTAGCCTGGTTTGCTGAATGTGGCTCAGTCAGGTTTGGCAGTTGCTTGCCTCCAAGTGCTGGCATTGGAGGGGTCCCAGAGCCTGATAGCTCCTGCTTCCTGACATTGTTATCTTGTTCGGCCTCTTCCTGAGGACCAGGGCTGGGGTGGGCATGTGGGTGGGTGCAGGAGCAAAGGCAGCCATCTGTGTGTTTAGAGATTGGAGAAGTTGGGGGTATGGCGAGCATTCAGGTTGGCAAAAAAAGTTTGGAGTCCAACTATTAAAAATAATGACTTCTTTTACTGACCTTGGAAGCATCAGGGCTAGGACATTCCACTCTGGGGTGAGCACACAGAAACTTAGGATGCTGCAGGCTTTGTCTGGATCACTCACAGAATTAGAGGCTGAGCTGCAGCCAGACCTGGGCCATGCCTCCAACCCCCTGTGGCCTCCTAAATGCACCCTCCCTCCAGCTAGCTGCTGAGCGGTCCTAGCTGGATAAACCTTTCAGGCTTACTTCTCCTTCCCTTTGTCCTCCGTGGGCTTGTTTTTATCCCTCTTTGCTTGCTTTAGTTGGAGGAGGTTCCTCAGTCCTGCCTGGGTTGGCCAGGCAGGTGGACAAGTAGAGTCCTGGAGTGGCTTCTCCCCACTAGGCGATAAATCTCTCATTACTGTTAAGTGGAAGGCTCATTTCAGAGATCGTGGTGAGAGCCAGGCGGGTGCTATAAATAGCTGTGTTGTGAAGGTTGGCGGGTGAGCGGTGACAGGGCAGGGGCCTCACAGTCATCTTACTGGGTAATTGTGCTCCATCTCAGGAAAGGAGAGGCGGGCTCGGGAGCAAGAGGCACCTGACCCCTGTTCTGATTGTTCCTGCCTGCCTCAGGGCAGCTCTGGCATGTGCTGTGCCCCCTTGCATACATACTGGAGGATGGGAAGCATTAGGTTCATTGTTCAGGTAAGGGAAGTGGACTGCCTGTCAGAACTTGGAGCCCTAGAAGCTGGTACTCAGCCCATTGGTTAATGTTCAGTGCTAGACCCACTTATCCTGCCTGTCCCTCCAGCCCAGGATCTGCCTCCTCCCTATCACCTAAAACCCTGGGCCCAGGATTGAGGAGATGTGGAAACAACATCTCATGGGCTCAGAGGTTGACATAGACTTGAACTAGCAGGAGAATGAATGGGAATTAAAAGTGGGATTTAGCTGGCCTGGAGCCCTTGTCTAGCGTCTGTGGTAATATGTCTGCAAAGGCAGGGGCTGGAGGCCTAAGGGTCAGGGGATTTGCCTCCTGATGTCTATGGGATTAGCGTTTTCCAGGGTGGAGAAGAGGTCAGGGCTGGAGCGTCCTGGGACGAAAAGTCTTTTGACAGGTGAGACCTTGGCTTGGGCACATGGGGGTCCCTGTCTTAGGGTGGTCCAGGGGTGTGAAGCTTCATGGCTCTATGAGATCCATGCTTTCTGGAGTAGCCTGTTGGTCTCAGACATACACATAGGATTAGCAGGACCAGGTTCCAGGGTTCTTTTAGCGTCTGCCCTAGGGTATTTGTCCTAAGGACTTCTGGGTCCTCAGACCACTGCACCCTGGAGTGTGGGGCCCTGCTGATGTAGGTGTGCCTCCCTCAGCAGGGGTTTGGAACTTGGAAGAGATTGGGGTGGGAGGCAGAGCCAGCCCCTAGGAGAGAATAGACAATAGATAGTTCTTGGGGCCACCTAGAGACAAGTGAGTTAGGAGACCTGTAGAGCTCATTCCATATTTTACCACTCTCTGGCCAGGAACGGAAGCTGTGTGCCCACCCTCGGCTGGAGATCTACCAACAAGACCATATCCATTTCATGTGCCCGCTGGCACGGCAGGGAGACTTCTATGTGCCTGAGGTGAAGGAGACGGAGCGGAAATTCCGGGGGCTACCGGAGGCCAATGATGCCCAGATGGATGGCACAGGTACAGAAGGTAGGGGTATGAGGGTGGGGCTTTGCCTGGAGCCCTTCCCTTCTGGACATCTAGGGATATGGTTGAGGAGGCTCCTCCCTATCTGGGCTGGCACTGTGCATGTCAGGCAATGTTTGGCAGAGGGAGGGAGACCCACTTACCCCAGGCTCCACATGCAGAGTTGCCTGTTTCCAGAAACATGGATCTGCATAGCTGTGGATTCACACATTACCTCCTGGCAACAAGGATACAAAGACCCTGCCTGGATTGCCTTCAGATGCAACAGGAGTGCCCTTGGAAACACAGATCACAGACAGCTGGATGCTCATGGGAGGGGGCTGAGGCTGCTCAGGAAAGGAGTCACTTGGGTGGGGCTCATGAGGAAGTATGATTGGCACTGGATCTGGAAGGTAAGGAGAGGAATAAGATGTTCTCCTATCCTCCAGTATTGCTCCTGCCCCCCAAGCCAGCTGCTTTCTCCCTGCCAAAGAACAACCAGGGAGCACGCAGAGGGGAGCCAGGAGATCAGTCCCCGGCACCTTCCACCAGAGCCCATGCACCTGTTGGCAGCCTTAATGCCCCAGGTCCAGGCCACTGGGCTGTTTGCTGCTCTCAGCTCATCCCTCTGCCATGATTTCTTGTGACCTCTGGCTGTCGAGAGGCAAAGGGGCCTGCTGGTAATATCCCAGGTGGTCCCAGGGGGCCTAATTCTTGTCTGTCCCAGTAGAGCCTTGTATGACTCTGGAAGTCTGTGACTTCTAGGAGTGGTACTGGGTTGTGGGGAGAGGGAGTGTTCCTCTTCCTCTTCTTCCTTAGCAGATTCTGTGTCCATCCAGTCTTTAATAGCCAAGGTCACCCTAGAGAGACATGTGTCAGCAGGGGCTGGGCAGGAGGGTACTGGGAAGCAATCTCTATTCCCTAGGGGCCTGTGTCTAACACAGTTAACTTCATCTGCCACTTAATTACCTCCATGGGGTACTGCTCCCTTCTGCCTGGTAATACCCGGCAGACAATCTTCAGTGTCCCTACTGTGGGCACAGGACATGGCACAAGGTCAGTAGGCCCAAGCAGCCCCAGGGCAGAAGGGAGAGTGCCTTGACCTTTCTGTGACCTTTCTCTGCCGCCTGCCTCCCTGCTCTTAGGCCCACCCACCCAGCTTCCTTTCCTCCCATACACTGTTTTCCAGGCGTGTTGAAGGACTGCCCAGCACCCGCTACAGCTGGCTGCAGCTGTAGCTCCCATACCCCCTAGCTGCTCAGCCTGTCCTCCTCCCCACCAGCCTGCCTGCCTGCTCCCTGGTGTGGGGGGCTGAGGAGTCTCTGTCCTCCTCCCCACCAGCCTGCCTGCCTGCTTCCTGGTGTGGGGGGTTGAGGAGTCTGCCTACCTCTAATGGGGCCTGTCCTGACACCCAGGGTGGACTCTGGGTGTCAGCTGCTAGGTGCATGCCACTTACACAGCAGTATATGGTAGGTGCATGGCTGCCCAAGGCTTGGCCTGTCCCTGCCTGCCTCCCTGCTGTGGCTCCAGCTTGGGCTGGGAGGTGAAAGGGGTAATTAGCTGCCTTGCGCCTGTTATTACATTGATGTATTATTTAGCTCTGGAGAGGCGATGAATATTTGATCTCTTTGGGCAGAGAAGGAGAGGCTGTGGGCAGAGAAGGAGAGTGGGACTGGAGTGAACATCCCCTGCCTCAGCAGTTCTGGGGATTTAGGTGTTGCCCTGCCTTGCCTGGCATCTTCTCCCCAGGGACATAGGCATAGGACTTTGGGACCTCCTCCTATGTAGACTTTGGTGGAGCTGTAGGGATGCCACTTCTCTGCCTCAGGGTTCTTTGCTTGAAGTATCCATATGTCCCCAGGGGCTGTCTTTATCCCATCATGCTGAGCCCCGGCCTGAAGCAGTTACCCTTAGGCCCCTTCCTCTGATCACTCCTACCCAGGAGCTGGGAGGGAGGAAGGCTGGCTGGAAAGCAGGCACTTCCCTGTATCTGGGGTCTCAAGAGAGCCATTGGGTGGGTGGGCAGGTAGGATATGACAGTTTAATGGGTCTGGGGAGAAACTATCCCTCTCCTTTGCTCCTTTCAGGCCTGTAGCCCCTGGGGCACCGACCATCATTTAGGAAGTGAGTGAGGGCCTAGAGTCCTGACCTGAGGTCAGAAGGGATCACCTATAATTCAAAGCTCAGCTTAGCCTGGGCTCTCCCCACTCTCCTCACATGCCTCCACTCTGGGAGCCCAGCCTGGGGCTCCAAGCAAGAACTGTGGGCCAGCAGCCTGTCATTTCCAGGGCTTACCTCACCTCTGCCAGTAGGAGGGCCCAAAAGGCATCGTCTAGGGGCCAGGTGGACTGGGGGAACAGGACCCAAATCTCCCCACCCCCAACTTAGGCCTCAGCTGAGGCTCCAGGAAAGCTTTAGGCTGAGTCTAGATGCCAAGCATTCCTCAGCTGGGCCTGGCTTGGGCTCCATCACCATGGAGACAGCAGCTGGGGAAGCTGGTCCACCCTACACCTGTGATGTTTGACAGTTACCCCTCTTCCTCTCACACAGGAAAGGTGGCGTATAGGCCTTCTCCCAGTCTGCATTCCTGCACATAGTGGGCCTGAGCTCTTTGTTTCTCCTTGCTACCCACAACTGCATTCAGTGCCTCTGATCTGGGGAGATGAACCCAGGGGTTGTGTCTGGACAGGGCAGGTGAAAAGGCTGCTTGCCTAAGGGATGTATTGGGAATGGAGGAGCAGGTTAGGAGGGCCATCAGTTCAGCTCAGCACTGTTGTGGGGCTCCCCAGCCACCAGCAGAGTGCTCTCATAGCCCCTTTTTGCTGCCTTGTGGTTCAGGAAGCACCAGTAGTCGGTGGTGGGGTAGGGTGGGTAAGGGTTCCTCTGGGTTAACCTAGGAATAGGGGGAGAAAGCCCTTAAAATGCTTCATCCCAGCACCCTCCTTGTAACTGTTTGAGTGTTTCTCAGGACTTCTCCATCCACGTGGGCCAGAGGCCTGGATGCTGCTCCTTGGGGAGCCGTGCATGAGGGAGGGGGCGGAGCTGGCGAGTAGGCCTCCTGATCTATTCTTCAGTCCTCATGCCCTATAGGCAGTGTTTTATAGCTGGCCCTGGACAAACCTCTCTCCAAGCTTGAGATAGGGCTTGGAGGGGACACTACTTGGGTTTCTTTGTTCTACCTCAGCTCCTCACCTCGGGGCTAAGCGGCCCTTAATGGATGTTGTGGGGAGGGCAGCAGGCTTTGTGGGAGTGCAGGGTGCCGAGGCTAATTCAGGGTAGGGAGAGGAGTGCACAGCTGCTTGTGCCTCCTCTTTCCCTCTTCCCTGTCAGTGCAGCCCCCATCAGGGCAGCTCCAGCTAGGGCAGAGGGCAGCTGGAATGAGCCTCCTGAGCCGGGGTGGCTGTATTATTCATGAGTGGACTGTGCATGCTGAGTTGCTGGGCTGGCGGTAGAGAGCCTCTGCCCTCTCCCTGGAGGAGAGGGGGTGGGTGTGGTCCTGCCTAACCTGTGTTCCCTTTATCCTGGCCATAGGAGCTGACACGATGAGTGACACGAGTTCTGTAAGCCTGGAGGTGAGCCCTGGCAGCCGGGAGACTTCAGCCACCACGTTATCCCCTGGGGCGAACAGCCGCCGCTGGGATGATGGTGACACTCGCAGTGAGCACAGCTACAGCGAGTCGGGGGCCAGTGGCTCATCCTTTGAGGAGCTGGACCTGGAGAGCGAGGGGCCTTTGGGGGAGCCACGGCTGGATCCGGAGACTGAGCCCTTGGGGGCCACCAAGTGGCCCTGGGAGCCCAGTACTCCTGAGAAGGGCAAGGAGTAACCTGTGGTCTGCACCTTACCGTGGTGCAGTTGCTAAGGAACTGAGCAGACTCTCCAGCCCTCTTCTTCCTTCACCACCCAGGCCCAGGCTGAGACTGGAGGTGCCTGGGGAACCTGACTTCCCACATCCCAGGCTTCTTGCTAAGCCTTCTCCTCACTGCCCTTTCGGCTCCCAGGGCCAAAAGAGCCAGGGACTGTTTTCTGTACCAGCCCTTGGGGCTGCTGCCTCTGTTGTTTTTTTTCAGACTCACATTGGAACTTCCAGGACCCAGAATAAAGCAAATGATTTTCTTGTTTCACCTGGATTTGGGCTGTATATTTGTTTGTTAATTCCATCTTGGGGAGCCCTGTGCTGATAGGCTGAGAGTGGGCAGGAGTGGCCCCCAGCACAAGGAGAGGAGGAAATGGTCAGGTACCCTGGGGTAGGAGGAGGAGGGTTGTTGATCTTCCACTCCTTGCTCTGTGACCCCAATGGGCAACTTCCCCTCCATTGCAGCTGCCGGAGAACAGGCCAAGCAAGGCAGGTGGTGTGAGAGCTGAGCGTGTGGTGCCTTCCAGGGCTCAGAAATAGAGAGCTTGCAGCCTGCCTTTGTCTGCCTCCAAGGGATGTGTCTGTGACTTGAGTGTACCTGTGCTCACCGCTGGGACCTCCTCAGGCAGGTGAAGACGTCCCTGCTGTGCCTGCCAGTGCCCATGTATGTGTGTGCATGCACGTGTGCATGTGTATACGTGTACTCACGTTTGACTCTGTAACCATGGATGGGGCTGCTGGTGGTGGTCTGGGTGAAGCCATACCTAAGTGAGCATCAGGTGTGGCTGTGGCTAGGCATAGTGGTGTTTGAGTGGATAGCTGTGTGCATGTGTCTATTGGTATATGGTTGCATTACAGAAACAGGTGAAGCCAGCTAGCTGGGAGCATCTCTATGGGAGCTTTGTCCATAGATTGCTGTGTGTCTCTGTAGAACTGTGTGTATAGTCATGTGTTCATATGTAAAGCTGTGTTTTGCTGTATGTTTATATGTATGTCCACATATAAGGCTATGGGTCTGTGCAGCTGTATCCGTGATTACAGCTGTGTATATGGATGTGTTCATGTATTTGTGGCCATGTTCATGTGTACAGCTGTATGCATGTGGCTGTGTCCACATGTACAGCTATGTGTGGACATGTTCACATGTACTTGGAGGTGGTGTCCACATGTACAAATATCCATATGTACAGCTGTCTGTGGTATGTTCATGTGTACTGCTGTGTGTGTGGTCATGTCCACATGTACAACTGTGTATGTAAGGTTGGGTTTGTGTCCGTGTCTGTGTGCACAGCAGGGATTGGTGGCTGCATGGCTGTGTGTAACTGCATGTCCATGTGCTGCAGTGGGACTGTGCAGCTTGCTTGCTGCAGGCACTGTAATGGGCTTCTTGGGCTGGTACTGTGTGTAGCTGTATCTTTATGTATAAATCCCTTTCTTTTTTGAGGCTGACTTGGTGAGTGGGCTGGGATAGCTGTGTGATTCCTCTCACCTCAGCACCCTCCTGCTGTCAACCCCCTGCTCCAGAGCCTGGGCCCATCGCTCACCTGCCCCAGGGAGCAGTTGTGAGCCAGCCCGAGAGGGTGAGAGCAGCCGGTGGCAGAGCTGGAGCTGGAAGACAGCACGTCTGTCTCCCCAGCCTTGTCTGACAGCTCTGAACCCTCATCCTGCTGCCACCTTGTCTCCCATTAGTGATTGGGTTTGTGTTTGTTTGGGTTTGATGTGTCTGTTTTGTTTCAAAGCTGCATTTTTTCCGAAGCAGTGGGGCACTGGGTTTCTGTGTCCAGGGAAAAGCTTGTCCTTGGCCCCCTCCCCAACTGCCACACACAGGTGGGGGTGTGTGCCTGAGGGGCCTGGAGCTGGCATGTTCTTCAGCATGTGTCTGAACTGGCCTTGCTTCTACTGCCACCTGTGGAAGAAAGGGCAGTGCCAGTGGAGCCTTGTCAGCATGTGTACCTGTTGGGGGCAGATAGCACAGGCCCTCACATCCTCCCCAGATCCTTCAGCATAGTCTGGCACTGCAGCTTATTCACCACCCCCTACCCAGGGGTGTCCTTCCCTATCTTGCTGTGGGAGGGAAGAGTCAAGAGCATCTTCTCAGAGCTGTCTTCCCTCTGCTCGGGCTCCAGCTCTCGCTCCTCCTACGCAGCAGCCAATTCGAGGAGCCTTTCCCTAGCCCCCTCCCCTCCCAGATCCCCTTGCCAGCCCCAGCGTGTCCCTCAGGGTTGACCCTAGTCCCTGGTTCTGCAACCTCTGTCTCCCATAGGTTGGTATCTCTTTGCCATAAATACCCTTTGCACATGGGAGTGGGGATTAGTGATTGGGGTAGCAGCTTTAAGGTCATCTAAGGAAGGAAGGCTCCATCCTCTTCTGACCTCCTCCTTCCCCCAGTCTTTTACTCCTGGTGACTCAGGCCCAAGCTATCATGTGGGGCTGAAGACACATTCCCCCACCTCAGGCCTGGCAGTGAAGCAAGCTGAAGTTGCTGGGTGGGGAGAAGGAATGAACACCTGTCTCCCACTGGCTCCTTTACCTCTCCTCTGAGACTTCAGGGGCCAGCTCTTCCGCGCTCTCAGACGGGAACCCATAGCACCATGTACCTCTCGGGCTCAATGACCTTACCCCCGCCTTCCTGCTCTCTGGTACCACAGTCTGGTTATGGGGCGAAGAGGGCCACGAGGCGGCTGCCCCGGCGGCGCAGAGGGAGAGCGCCGGGGATTCAGCACCGCGAAGCGGACAGCTCTGGGCCCGGTGGTCCCGAGAAAAGCAGCAGCAGCTGCAGGCCAGGGGCGAGGAGCGGTGCGGTGCCTGGAGGGAGGCGGAGGCCGGGTTGGGAGCCGGAGACCCGGAGTGGGGAGGCACGGAGGAGGGGCCGGGGGCGGGCCGGGCCGGGGGCGGGGCGGGCAGCGATTGAAAGCGGCTGGGCGAGCTGGCGGGCGCAGAGCGCAGAGCCAGCGAGCGAGCGAGCGGGAGCCCCAGCCCGGCGCCGCGCTCCACTCCGATTCTCTCCGCGCCAGAGCCGGGCGCGCCAGGTAGGGTGAGCCGTGGTGCCACGGCCACTGCCAACCTTTTCCGCCCTGACCCCACGTCCCGGTGCTCCGCGGGCCCTCGAGTTTTGGGGAGCCCGGGCCCGGGCGTCCAGACGGCGCTCTCTGTGAGCTCCGGGAAGCGGGAAGACAGCCCCAGGCATCCCACCTTTCTTTCCCAGAGAACACACGCCCTGCATCGCGCTCCCCCGTTCCTCCTGCTCTGGCGTCCTCTGGTCCTTCTTTCTGTCTGTGCCTCTGTCTTTGTCTCAGCCTTTCGGGCTTGCTTGCTCCCTGCCCAGATTTTGTGGCCCAGGCCCCTGGCTGCCCTACTCTTGGGTTCTGTCCCCTTCCCTGCCTCTGAGCTTCTGTTCAGCCTCCCCTGTGGGAGGCTTGTGGTCTTGACTAGTTTTGGCCTGTGCCCTCCTCTGGGCCCCTGTCCCCATTTGTGTTGGTCTTTAACCCTGTTTCTCTCCTGTTTGCCTGGTCGAGCTGCTGCTTTTTTGGGTCCCCACAGTATCTTAGTCCCCCTGCCATGGCACCAGTGGGGGACAAGCTCTGAGGAGCCGAGGAGGCAAAGTGAGGAGCCCCAGCCTTACTGGCCAGGACATGGGGTCCTTGAACTAGTTGCTGCCCTTCTTCAGCCTCAGTTTCCTTTCCTGTTCTGAGGAGCGATGTGTATTCCTCTCTCGGCCTTTCCAAGCCTGCGTGATTGTAAGAGCCTGTGTGTGGGGTGTTTGAGAAGGTAACTGGGGCACGGATGACAGGATGCAGAGTAGAAAAGGGAGGGAGGGGTCTCTGAGTGTCAGGGCCAGGGTGGACAGGGCCCCAAAGCTGATGATGGAGAGACTGGAAATGGTGATTTTCTCTGCTGGGGTTGGAGTGAAGAGAAAACGGAGGCACAAAGTCTCCAACAGCATTCTACGTAGAGCTAGGGAGTCCAAAACTCTCACTAGCAGCACTGTTTGGAGACTGTCCCCATCCCTGACACACACATATGCTCACATCTACTTGCCTGGTTGACTTAGGACCTAGGGCCACTTGGGTACCCTCCCTGGGGCCAGCCATTTCACCTTGCTGTCACTCCCAGGGCTTAGGGTCTGTATTCCTTCCTCAGTCAGGACACTGGGAAAGGCTAGGACCAGAGGCTAGGACCCTTGGGTGTTCACCTGGGCTTCAGTCTCCCCAGGGGTTGGAGGCTGTTCTTAGAGACTCTTCCCTGTCTCTTCCCTGGTGGGTCCTCAGACAGCAGCGCCCCCTCTCGGGAAATCCAAGGCTCAGGATGGGAACTGGGCCTCTGTGTTTGTGATTCTGATATGGCCTCTGTTGCAAAGGTATTGACCTCAGGGTCCCGTGAGGTTTGTGCAAGTCTTGGACACCTTTTGTTTACTAGATGTTGAAGGCTAGATGTTGGTTGTGGTCTCCTGTCTTCTGCCTGTGCCCTCACTCCTTGCCTCCCTCCCCCACTGCTGAGTTTGGTAGGGGTACAGGGCCCATCTCCAGCCCAGATCAGGGAAGGGCTGAGAGATAGGCCCAGGGGTGTCCCAGGAGCTTCTCAGCCTTGTTAGTGACACCACCCCCTCCCTGGTTCCTGAGTACCTGGGAAACAGGTGTGGGAGAAGGAGGAGGCAAAGTCAAAAGGGGAAGCTGCTCCCAGGTTCCACTTCTCCCCGTCTGTTTGTCCGTCTCTCTATCTCTCTGCAGGAGCTGGGTCCTTTCTCATCTCTCTTCTTGTCTGTCCTTTCCTGGTCCCTGTTTCCTCCTCTCTTTGCCTTTGCTGCTTCTACCCTCATCCCCTGGAGACCCAGGTCTGCTGGACCCATCCATCCCCTTTGGGGCCATGGGATCGCTGCTTGGGCTCCTGTCTCTGCTGCTGCTGTGGGGTGCTGTGGCTGACGGCCCAGCCAAGAAGGTGCTGACCGTGGAGGGGGACCTGGTGCTGGGTGGGCTGTTCCCAGTGCACCAGAAGGGTGGCCCAGCAGAGGATTGCGGTCCTGTCAATGAGCACCGTGGCATCCAGCGCCTGGAGGCCATGCTTTTTGCACTGGACCGCATCAACCGCGACCCGCACCTGCTGCCTGGTGTGCGCTTGGGTGCTCACATCCTCGACAGCTGCTCCAAGGACACACACGCCCTGGAGCAGGCGCTGGACTTTGTGCGTGCCTCACTCAGCCGTGGTGCCGATGGCTCACGCCACATCTGCCCTGACGGTTCTTATGCCACCCACGGTGATGCTCCCACTGCTATCACTGGTGTCATTGGTGGCTCCTACAGTGACGTCTCCATCCAGGTATGTGGAGGCTGCCTAAATGGGGAGTGGGGAGGGAGGCCAGAGGTGGCGACCCAGAATTCCCACTTAGCAGGGGCTCCTGAGCTGACATGCATTGGAAGAAGAACTAGAAGCTTTCTTTTAGTGGTGTTTTTACAGAATACTAAGAAAGTACCCTTGTCACATAATGGGGCTGCTTTTTAGAGATTGCAAGAGAAACACCCCACTCCCGCCACATGTACCCCTGATTTTAAACAATGCTGAGAGACTTAAATAGCCAGGCCTCTGGAGTCAGCCCTCTGGATTTGAATCCTGGTTCCCCTGCTTACTAACTGCATGACGCTGGGCAGGTTATTTCTCTTTCTGTGTCATAGTTTCCTCCTTTCTACTTTTAGGTTTGTAGTGGAAATTACTGAGGTGATAAATACAAAGCATGTATTAAAGGGTCTAGCAAGTCATAAAGGCATAGTCAATATTAGCTGCTCTTATTATTAACCTAGTTTACAGATGAGAAAACCAAGGCTCAGAGAGAGGCATGTCACAAGTCAAGGCAGTGGCAGAGGAGAAGTATGAAATCAGGGCTGTCAGCCAACGGCGCCCTGATCTGTCAGATCATGTCTCCCTGGATCGGAGAGGGGAGGACAGAGAGAAGCTAGGAGTGGCCAGGAAGAGAAACAGGAGGAAGAGAAGGGGGCAGGGGAGAGGGTGTCCTAGGGTCTTCAGGGAGTGCAGGATTTGAGGTGGTGGGAAGGTGGGGAATCAGTGTCCCCCTCACCTGCTGCTGTCCCACAAGGGACCAGCAGAGGGTGCCCTGTTGCTCAACTTCTGAGAAGGTGCTGACCCCGCTGATGTCCCTCTTCTGCTCGTTGGGTTGTGCCCAGCCGTGATCTTCCCCCTCTCTGACTGGCTCCCACTTTTCACCGGGCTTGACAAGTGCCCAGCATATGCTGCTGGAAGATGAGGCCAGAAATAGGATTGGGGCTGGGGGACATAAGGGAGCCTCGGCTGGGGCCCCAGCTTCCTTTAGGAGGCTGGCTGATGGCATTGCCCTCAGGGATAGGGCCAGGACCCCAACCTGGAATGCTAGTTTAGAAGAAATGAAGCAGACACGGGAATCTGAACCGTGGAATCAGCTTCTGGCCTGGGGTGGGGAGGCCTGACCACTCTGCACTGCTAGGAGTGGATTATCTGTCCTGTTACTCCCTGCTACTAGAGGTAGCTAGGCAGCAGTGTGGACAGGTGTGGCTGTGCCAGCACCTACATCTGCAGCCCTGGCTGGGGGCAGAGATGGGTGGGCAGCCTCCTACCTGCTGACTTCCTCAGGAGCCTCTGGGGTACTTTCCCGGTGTGGCTTTCTACTGTTCCCTTCAGGGTCCCATGCATTTATGTCTAGGAGCCCAGTTACCTCCTTGCCATCCTGAGCTGCCTGCCTCCTGGAGCAGGGCCCACACCTCAGCATCGGTCTGCTTTTCCCTTGTCCTGGTCAACACAAGGCCTAGCCCTGTATCCTTAGGCCATGCCTGCCTGTGAGTGACCCTCCCCATTCCTTGCCCTCTCTCTTGCCCATGTCCCTACCATCTTCCATATGCCAGGCACTGTGGCTTCCCAGGCATTACCATTTTTATCTGCTCAGCAGCCTTGTAAGGCGGAGATGTGAGAGTGAGGCTCAGGGAGGTCTGCCAACTCCAGGGACACAAAGAAAGGGTAGGAGTGGGCATGGCACCCTAGATGGTCAGAGTTGCAGCCTGTGTCCAGTTGCAATACAGGACTTAGCCGTCTCCTGTGGAATGTGAGCCATGCTCTGCTTTCACCTACTCACCCACTACCAGGTCCTTGGCCAGGCTCCACTGCGTGGGCAGGCCTCAGGAACTGGAAGGTGGGAGATGGGGTACTGATGCAGTCAGTGGTAGAGCAGGGAACCCTGTTTATTTCAGGCTCAGGCATCCTTGAAGACTAAGCCTTGGGCTACCAGGGCCATGGGAGCCTCAGATATGGGTCTTTCTTCCTGGGGAAGCTTTTCACTTCTTTCTCCATCATCCCATCAGGATTGACTCTGGGAAGGGTTACTTGCCCCCAAACAAGTAGAGAGCCAGAGAGTATCCAGATGCCATCTAGTGCCTCCCTCTGCCCCAGGCCTTCCCTTGGCTTCCCTCCCATGTGTCTGAAGAGGGACAGCAGAGGAGATTAGCTGTGACTCAGGACTATGGTGCCTGGGCCCAGCGTCTTCTCTCTCCCAACATTTGGGAAAGAGTAGAAAACTCCCTGCCCCAGGTGAAAACGCATCAAGTCAGGATGCAGGCCTTTTCCTGAACTTGTAGATAATTGACATAAATGTCTGCTAGCTATGGGGGATGCATCCGTCTCTAGTGTTCAGCTTGGCCTCTGATCTTTCCCTCTCCACCCCTCCCCCAGGTGGCCAACCTCCTGCGACTATTTCAGATCCCACAGATCAGCTACGCCTCCACCAGTGCCAAGCTGAGTGACAAGTCCCGCTATGACTACTTTGCCCGCACAGTGCCCCCTGACTTCTTCCAAGCCAAGGCCATGGCTGAGATTCTCCGCTTCTTCAACTGGACCTACGTGTCCACGGTGGCATCTGAGGGTGACTATGGTGAGACAGGCATCGAGGCCTTTGAGCTGGAGGCCCGTGCCCGCAACATCTGCGTTGCCACCTCGGAAAAAGTGGGCCGCGCCATGAGCCGTGTGGCCTTTGAGGGAGTCGTGCGAGCCTTGCTGCAGAAGCCCAGTGCCCGCGTGGCTGTCCTGTTCACCCGTTCTGAGGATGCCCGTGAGCTGCTTGCTGCCTCCCAGCGCCTCAACGCCAGCTTCACCTGGGTGGCCAGTGACGGCTGGGGGGCCCTGGAGAGCGTGGTGGCAGGCAGCGAGGGGGCCGCTGAGGGCGCCATCACCATCGAGCTGGCCTCCTACCCCATTGGAGACTTTGCCTCCTATTTCCAGAGCCTAGACCCCTGGAACAACACCCGGAACCCCTGGTTCCGCGAGTTCTGGGAGCAGAGGTTCCGCTGCAGCTTCCGGCAGCGAGACTGCGCGGCCCACTCTCTGCGGTCTGTGCCCTTTGAGCAGGAGTCCAAGATCATGTTTGTGGTCAACGCGGTGTATGCCATGGCCCACGCGCTGCACAACATGCACCGTGCTCTCTGCCCCAACGCCACTCGCCTCTGTGACGCAATGCGGCCAGTCAACGGGCGCCGCCTCTACAAGGACTTTGTGCTCAATGTCAAGTTTGATGGTAATGGTTCTGGCTAGTGTTCATCAGCCTGCTGGCTCCCAGAGGATGAGGGGAGCAGGTTCCACTACTGGGTTGCACAAGTCGGCTAAGAAAACATAGCATAATGAAAGTAAAGCACTCGCTGGGGTCTGGTGTCAGAGCCAGGACACAGACAGCTAGGCAGAGAGGACTCCAGCTGGAGCCAGGACTGAGGCTCCACTTTCGGAGATCCTCCCAGAGAGTAGACCTCTGGCCTGGTCCTGCCACTGCGAGGGGCTATGGCTCCTGCTTGGGCCTTGTCTTCTATTTCCTCTTTCCTTATCTTACTGGGTGTGGAGACCAGAGGACCTTAAGCCCATTCTCAGGCAACAATGACAGTCAGAATCAGGGTGGGTTGAGGGTGGGCATCAGGATGACATTGTATATACAGGAAAAATGCCTTTTCTTGTTTTTTTGTTTTGTTTTATTTTTTGTTTTTTTGAGTCTCGCTTTGTTGCCCAGGCTAGACTGAGTGCCGTGGCGTCAGCCTAGCTCACAGCAACCTCAAACTCCTGGGCTCAAGCAATCCTCCTGCCGCAGCCTCCCAAGTAGCTGGGACTACAGGCATGCGCCACCATGCCCGGCTAATTTTTTCTATATATATTAGTTGGCCAATTAATTTCTTTCTATTTATAGTAGAGATGGGGTCTCGCTCTTGCTCAGGCTGGTTTTGAACTTCCTGACCTTGAGCAATCCACCCGCCTTGGCCTCCCAGAGTGCTAGGATAACGGGCGTGAGCTACCGCGCCTGGCCTATTTTTTTGTTTTTTAAATTTAGAGACAGGATCTTGCTATGTTGCCCAGGCTGGAGTGCAGTGGCTACAGTGGCTATTTACAGGCGTGATCATAGCCAACTACAGCCTCAACGTCCTGGGCTCAAGCGATCCTCCTGCCTCAGCCTCCTGAGTAGCTGGGACTGCAGACATGCCATTGTGCCTGGCTTCGGGAAAATTTCTATTCCCAATCTTAAATTTTCTACTCAAAGTGACCAAAGTCTCCTGAAATCAAAAGTTATTTTAGTAAAAGTACCAGTTTTAAGAAAAATCAGTGCTTCAGAATCATCACCATGCTTTAGGAAGAATCACTGAGGAACAGTGAGAGAGGACGCCAGAGCTGATAGGCTGGCCCAGGGTTAAGATGAGCAGTAACTCCAACAGGATTGGCCTTCAGAATCATGCTGAGTCAGGATTGGGTCTGGGGTCCAGTTGGGTTGATGGAAAAAAAACAAGGCTAAATTCAGCCTGCTGGCCCTGAATGGAATGTATGGTAGGGCTGGAGTCGGATTTTGAGAACTTTGAGGCTGGGTGGAAAGAGTAGAGGATTGTGGGGAGTGGGGGGAGGAACGTGGGTTTGAATCTAGGCTTCACCATTCACTCACAGGCCCTTATGCGGGTCCTCTGCTTGGTCAAACCCCGATTTCTCCCTGGGACCAGGGATGGCTGTAGTCCAGGCTTCTAGCCTGGCCGGCTGGGAGATGCAAGGTTCACAAGTGAGGGAGAGTGAGGATGGAGAGTAGAGGTGATTTTTGAGCTGCTGAGCATATTCTGGTGAATGGCAGTGGTTGCAGGTGACCACTGAGGTTGGGGTTCAGTTTGTACTGGGATGAGTGTTAGGGCTGGTGGGGACTAAAGCTGGGGTGGTTGTTGATAGGATTAGTGGGACTAGGATGGGACTTGAAACTGGATGTAGATTTTGGGTCTCTGTGTTAAGTCTAGGGAGAGGGCTGTGGTGAGCATTATGATAAAGTTGGGGTTTGGGGCCTGGGTTGGAAAGTGTTGGATCCTATGTCTAAGGCTGAGTTGGGGAGTCATGGTTGGGGAATTGGTGTGGGCATTATGTTTGTGGAGATGCCTGGGCCTCCAGGCTGGGATTACGTTTGGGATTTAGGCTTGGGGGTTGATGTTGCAGTTTAGGGTAAGAATTTGTTGGGATCTCTCATCTAGAAAAATGGCTGGGGTCCAGACAGGCTCTAGTGTTAGGGTAAGGCAAGGTTTAGGAGGGCTAATGCTGGCCTTCGCTCTGGAGTTTGGGTTCCATGTGAGGGTGGGGGCTGAGGTCATATGAGAATAACCCACCAGTCCAACCTTCTCTTCTTTCCCTCCTCCGCCCCAGCCCCCTTCCGACCAGCAGACACTCACAGTGAGGTCCGCTTTGACCGCTTTGGTGACGGTATTGGGCGCTACAACATCTTCACCTATCTGCGGGCAGGCAGTGGGCGCTATCGCTACCAGAAGGTGGGATACTGGGCTGAAGGCCTGACCTTGGACACCAGCCTCATCCCATGGGCCTCACCCTCGGCCGGTCCCCTGCCCGCCTCTCGCTGCAGTGAGCCCTGCCTCCAGCACGAGGTGAAGAGTGTGCAGCCAGGCGAGGTCTGCTGCTGGCTCTGCATTCCGTGCCAGCCCTATGAGTACCGGCTGGACGAGTTCACCTGCGCCGACTGCGGCCTGGGCTACTGGCCCAATGCCAGCCTGACTGGCTGCTATGAGCTGCCCCAGGAGTACATTCGCTGGGGCGATGCTTGGGCCATAGGACCTGTCACCATCGCCTGCCTGGGTGCCCTGGCCACCCTCTTTGTGCTGGGTGTCTTTGTGCGGCATAATGCCACGCCAGTGGTTAAGGCCTCGGGTCGGGAGCTCTGCTACATCCTGCTGGGTGGTGTCTTCCTCTGCTACTGCATGACCTTCATCTTCATTGCCAAGCCATCCACAGCAGTGTGCACCTTGCGGCGCCTCGGTTTGGGCACTGCCTTCTCTGTCTGCTACTCAGCCCTGCTCACCAAGACCAACCGCATTGCGCGCATCTTCGGCGGGGCCCGGGAGGGTGCCCAGCGGCCACGCTTCATCAGCCCCGCCTCACAGGTGGCCATCTGCCTGGCACTTATCTCAGGCCAGCTGCTCATCGTGGCTGCCTGGCTGGTGGTGGAGGCACCGGGCACAGGCAAGGAGACAGCCCCTGAGCGGCGGGAGGTGGTGACATTGCGCTGCAACCACCGTGATGCAAGCATGCTGGGCTCACTGGCCTACAACGTGCTCCTCATTGCGCTCTGCACGCTCTATGCCTTCAAGACCCGCAAGTGCCCCGAGAACTTCAATGAGGCTAAGTTCATTGGCTTCACCATGTACACCACCTGCATCATCTGGCTGGCATTCCTGCCCATCTTCTACGTCACCTCCAGCGACTACCGGGTGAGCCACCTGCCACAGAGGGGGGAAGGAGTAGGACACCATATCCTCTGTTTTCTGGTGTCTTATTTAATCTACTGATAACTCAGAGACTCCAAAAGGAGTTAAATGTGCACTCAGAGGCCCACAGCTTGTGTGGACCCTAGGAGAAGGTGGGAGGGCAGAGTGGGGCCTGGGGAGATGGCCAGGGAGGAGGGGAACTTGAGTTAGAGAACTGAGATTTCAGGACTCGGATGTCAACTGCCCTGCCCCACTGAGAGGTTGGCTGCAGCAGGGGTTGAGAGATGAAGCCTGGGAAGGGAGTAAAAGTGAAGCAAAGGGGGTAGGGGAAGGAGGTCCGGGGTGTAGGGTTGAGAAAGGTTAAAGCAGGTGAAAATGTACCCCAGTTGGTGGCTTCCAAGCACACTTGGTTCCAGCTGGCACTGAGTGTCTGAGTGGGTCTCCCCAGCTCCAAGGGACAATGGCTACTTCAGATGAGGTGGTCAGGGAAGGCATCTCTGGGGAGGTGACAGACGAGCTGAGCTCTGAATGATCAGAAGATCATCTTGGTTAATCCTCATTACTCTGGAGTAAGCTCCATGGCTTTCCCATTTTACAGATGAAGAAACAGACTCAGGGAGGTTCAATCTCTTGCCCAAGGTCCCAGCCTAAGAGCACAGAGCAGGGTCTGAACTGCAGGAAAATTGAGTGAAAGCCCTGGAAAAGGCCCTTTCCCAAGGACAGAGGTGTGGTGGTGCAGTGCCGTGGGCCAGGGACTGCTGGGCTTGGCTGCTCTGCTTGCACCTGCTGGGCCACCTGCTTGAGTGGTGGAGACCAGGGCTGGGGAGGGAATCTGCTCTGACTCACCCTGCATTTGCATATGATTTGCATTGGCATGCCAATCATAGGCAGCTACAGACTCACCTGGGACATAGTACCCACACATGCATGCTCCCGCACACACTTGTACACAAACACACATATACCTGCACACATGCAGATACACACATACACCATATCTCCACATGGACACACACTTGCATGCATACACACTCCCTGGCACACCTGGTACACACATTTCCCTGCCTACACACATATCCATACTCATGCATCACATACTCACACCTGCACACTTATACTCACACATGTACACACTTAACCTAAGACATACACCCACACAGATATACACACATCTACATGCACACACTCCAGACCTGCACCGCTCGACACATGCACACACCCCATGCGTACATGCACCCTTGCATGCCCACCCCCTCAGCTGGACTTCTGATCTCCCTGGGAAAATGGTCCACTGAGGCTGCCCCTAGGGCTGTGCCCAATCTTCCTAGGAATCCTTTGGGACATGGCACATGGATCGCGGCCCAGGGCTGGATGCTATGGTCTCCCCAACCCTTTCCCCACAGCCCAAGCGGGGAGTCTGGGGGCAGGCCCAGGCCTTTGGGAGAGACTCACCCTGACCCGCGCCTGCTCGCCCACTCACCCCTGCAGGTGCAGACCACTACCATGTGCGTGTCGGTCAGCCTCAGCGGTTCTGTGGTGCTTGGCTGCCTCTTCGCGCCCAAGCTGCACATCATCCTCTTCCAGCCTCAGAAGAATGTGGTTAGCCACCGGGCACCCACCAGCCGCTTTGGCAGTGCCGCTGCCAGGGCCGGCTCCAGCCTTGGCCAAGGTTAGCATCCTGAGCTCCCCTTTTCACCTGTACCCTCTCTCCCCACCCCAGCTCCTCAGACACGGGGGCCACTCCTCAGGCTGCTGAGATTTCTTGTCTGGGGCTGGAGTACCCCCAGATGACATGACAGGAGAGGTAGGGAGAGAAGGGGTGATGCTTCCCTCCCCAACTCTGCTTCCCTTGCTGCCTGCCCTCCGTGGAAGGCCTCAGGGTCAGTCCCAACCTCCAGCTTCCTTTTCCTAGGGTCTGGCTCCCAGTTTGTCCCCACCGTTTGCAATGGCCGTGAGGTGGTGGACTCGACAACATCATCGCTTTGAAGACCCGACACTCCTGCCCTGACATGGCTGCTCCCTGGAACCCAGCGCAGACCGGCGTGCAGGGCCAGGAGGAAGTTGGCTGGAGCACTGCAATAATGCCCGTCCCATGTTCGCCCCCAAAGTCACTTACCCACCTTCTTGCCCTAACCCTTCAGAGTCAGAAGTCAGGGGCCTTGGCCAGGGAGCCTCTGCAATGACCACCAACTGCCCTTGCAGCTGTGTCCCGTCCTTGCCAGCCCCAGGGCTCAGAGGGAAGCAAGTCGGGATCCACTCTGCCCTGGAGCGGGGTGGATGAGGTCTGCAGGCCCCAATCCTGATCAGCAAAGGTGCTTCCAGCCCAGCTCCTCCCCCATTCTAGGGCCTTTTTTATTTTTTATATAAGTTACTCTGGGATAGGGAGGGTGGTTATTGTGGGGGCCGTTCCTCCCTCTGCACAGTAGTTTGTCCTGTGGTTTATTTTGTATTACCTGTAAATAAAGTATCTTTATTTAAAAAAAAAAAATCACTCTTTGCCCTGGACCTGGGGAGGCCCCTCACACCCTCCCCAGCCTCCCAACCTTCATCTTGCTAGTGTTTGTTGACTCTGCTTTGTGCACGATTCTAGGGCCTGCCAACCACCAAGACAGACCCAGCCTTGCCTGGAGGGGAGATGGAAAAGGAATAAATTATGTTCCCTTAAAAGGAGCCACTGCAGACTGGCCCAGGCACTCCTGGGCTGAGGGCAGGAGGTTCAGATGGACAGGCTCCTCTGGCTCCCTGGGGGAGAGGTTTCCCTGGGGATCCGGCCTCCAGGACAGTGTGGGTGATGGGCCAGGAGGCGCAGCTGACCCCGGGAACAGCAGGCTTTCCATGGCTGGCCTGCCTGGCATTTGCAGGAGCTGTTGTCTGTATGGAGCCAGGCTGAGCGTTTGGTGCAGGGAACAGGAGGCATGTTCATGGGATCTGGCACACATGGTGCCAGAACGAGCTGTGGCAAGCAAGGGTGAAGCAGGGAGGGCAAGGGAGGGGCAGTTGGAGAGGCCATTTGCTGTCAGACCCGGTAAGAAGTCAGGAAAGGGAGCCTTTTTCCAGTCCCCAGTGGAGCTCTGGCCTGGTGGATGGGTCGCAGAGCCCAGTGCCCTTGGGCACCTCCTGCATTTGCTGTTGGGGTTCACCAGCAGAGGGCGCCAAGATACATGGCAAAGGCCTGGCAACAGCTGCCTTCACGTGGCCGAGGGCACCCAGTACCCAACCGGAAGAACATGGCAGCCTTGCGGGAGCCCTGAGACTGCTGGAGCTCCGAGGGACAAGGTCCTGTTATAGGGGACGTGCAGGCCAGGGACACTAGCTATCTTTGAGTGAGCTCGTTTGCATCCACAGGCTGGCAAGGCTGTGAAAATTTGGGTTTACAATTTGAAAAATAGAAACAGAAAAATGAAAAAAAGAGAGTTGTAGGCATGGCTTCTACTTTCCAGCCAACATCTGGGATGGAGGGATGACAAATAAAATACAGAATGCCCTGTTACATTTGAATATCATAGGCAATGAATTATGAATGCTTTTTTAGTATAAATACATCCCACACAATATTTGGGACATACTTATGCTAAGATTTTTTGTTGTTTATCTGACATTCAGGTTTAACTGGACAGCCTGTATTTTTATCTGCTAATTTTGGCACCCCTATTGGGGTGACCTCTATTCTAGCTCCCTGGCCCAGAATAACACAGGCCTTGGTGTGACCCCCAGTGACCTGGCACCAGGGCACTACACCCATGGGACCTGCAGCACCAGACCCCCTTCCCGTTATAGCCTTTTCTGGGTCTCCCTGAGAAACTGCACCCAGGGAACGTTTGCTCATCCTTCCCGGCACCTGGAATCAGGATGGGGCTCTGGTCCCCTCGCACCCAAAAAGCAACACTTCTTCACATGGCTCAGGAGTATTTTCCTTAAAATGTGAAACAATAACAGCAACAAAAACAAGTAGTAATGAACATGGCTCACAGCTAAAAAGGTACAAAGGGTATTTGGTGAAGAATCTCCTTCTATCCCTGCCACCCATCTTGAGGGGAGAACCAGAGGCCTGGGGGTCAGGGCAGCAGTGCAGGAAGTGGGCAAGGAATTCCTAAGGACCACCCGCATGTCTGCCTGCCACACCCCTTTCCTCCACTTGCCCCCTCAATTCTCTCCCCTGCACTTGTGAGAGTGGCTCCTTGTTTTTTGTCCTGTTCTCTCAGCAGCTCCAAATCTCAATCCACAGTCCTCACCCCCGTATGCCATGTCCCCTCCCACCTGCCCTTACAGTGCTATGGGCAGCGAGTCTAGGCCTTCAACTCTCAGACTTACTACACGTCACTGAGACCAGGCCCTACCAGCGCCCCCCACCTCGAGTCCTCCTCCCAGTCCCGAGTGCCTGGGTTTATGTCTCTGGATCTCCTCCACCCTAGTACCACGGTCCATGTCCCACACAGCCCTGACCCCTCTGCCTGAGAAAGCGATAGGGGCATAAGGGTCGTTTGGGGGTCTGCTTATGTTAGACTTGGAGTCCTCAAAGGCAAGCCCTGCCCCTTCTGGGCACTGAGGACCAGAGACACCCAGCATTTGGGGTTCTCTCCCACCCCAGGGAGCTACCCCTCATGGTGCATTGACTGTCCACCACCGTTACTAACAGGTTGCTTTGCTTGGGTTGCCAGAGTTTACACCAGGGCGCGGTGTTTCTCCTGTGGCTTTGTTCAAAGACCCCCTGAGCCGTACTTCCATCCTGTCACCAGTGCCTTGCATTCCCTGCAAAACTGCAGGGCAGCTGCCGGTCTGTCTGGGTGGGCCTGGCTCTGTCTTACTTAACCACGAGTCCTAGCAGCTTGGGTGAGGGTGGTTCAGGCCACTCTGCTCTCAGCTCTCCCCATCTTGGCACGGCCTGGGGGGAGGAGAGGAACAGTCATGTCACAAGGGCAGCTCCAGAGAGGCATGGCTTCTCTCATTTGGGCCCTGTCCAGGAGCAGAGCCTTGAGATAGAACATTGAAATCCAAGAGGAAGTCGATGATGTATTGGGCAGAGGTGCTGAGAACAAAAGGTGGAGCTGATGGGTGGCACAGAGCCGAGAATAACATTCAAGCTCTGTCATACCCAGATCCTGAGGCTGCCCACGGCTGCATTCAGGCCGGCGCTCTCCTGCCATTGCCCCGGCCCAGCCTGGCAGCTGGCCCTGCTCTCCACACGGGGCGGGGGCTGTGGGAGGGATAAGAGGAAAGAAGGACCACAGAGGGGCCCAAGGCCATCTAAACATGTCCCCACTCCCAGTTCCAGCAGAGAAAAGGAAGGAACCCACCCCTCCTGCCCCCAGGGGCTAGGGGTGGGGGCGTTAAGCACTGAGATGAGACATTCTCAGCCTGGAGGAGGGAGGCCAGATGTGGGGAAAGCAGGGGGAGGAGAAAGTGGGGTATGTGTGCGAGGGGGGTGAACAGGGAGAGAAGTGGGAAATGGAGGAGACTGGGGGAGGGTATGGGGGCAGGAGCAGGAAAGTGAAACATGGAAGCTTTAAACCCTGAGGGCTGTTGCCAGGATGCCAGTTTTTTAAAAAGCAAAATTACTTTATTCGTTCTGTGAAAACAGTATATGCTCCCTCCAAACAGTTTCAGCATTGCAGAAAAGTACAAAAAGAAAATAAAAGTATTACCTCAAGTTTCATCATTCAAATATAGCCGTCATTAACATTTCTGGTACAGCATCCTCGACATATTTCTATGCATTTTTACAGATAGAACGAGAGATAGAAATACTTTCATAAAAATGGGATCATACCATATGTCTATTTTTTTAGAGAAGATTTAATTATACTTGACTCTAATTGAAGAAAATGAATCAGAAGTAAAACTGAAGACATTCTTGAACTTTACATACATTTATTCACCACAAGATATTTCCTCCCTGAAAGATCCCTCCAAGTTTAAGAAAAGGGGTGCTGGTGCCAACACACCTGTGCCTGGCCTTGGACTGCAGAGTGCATGGCCTGTCATTTACACATGGCAGCCACACTCAACCCCATATGGCAGTGAGCAGGCGTGGTGTTTAAGCACACTTGTGGAGGGATGGGCCTTTGAAGCCATCTACTCTGCTATTTTCATGGACATTACTTCTCTCCTGATTTTTTTCTAGAAACTTTATAATTTTACATTTAGGTCTTTGGTCCTTCTCAATTTTTTTTTTTTTTTTTTTAGAGATGGGGTCTTGCTGTGTTGCCCAGGCTGGACTCCAACTGCTGGCTCACATCTTCCCACCTCACCTTCTCAAGTAGTTGGGATTACAGGAGCACATCAAATTAATTTTTGTTTGTGAGATAGGGGTCAATATTATGTTTTACTCATCTGGCTATTCAGTTGTTCCAGCACTGTTTGTCAAAAAGACTCTCTTTCCTCCCACTGATTTATATTGGTACCCTTGCCTTAAATCAGTTGACCATAAATGGGTGGGTCTATTTCTGGATTCTATTGTGTCTCATTGATTTGTTTGTTTATCCTAATAAGCACCACATTGTCTTAATTACTGTAGCTTTATAGTAAATCTTGAGATTAGGAAGGGCAAGCCCTCCAACTTTATGGTGGTTTTTTTTTTCCAAGATTGTCTTGGTTGTTCTAGGTCCTTTGTATTTTAATATAAATTTTAGATTTAGCTTTTCAAAGTTTTAAAAAATAAATCTTCTGGAATTTTAGGGGGGCATTGTATTAAATATATATACCAATTTGTGGAAAATTATAATCTTAACAGTATTGTCATTTGATTCATGAATTTGGCATATCTTTTCATTTATTTTAGTCTTTCTAATTTCCCTAAGTGAAGTTTTGTGGTTTCAGCGTCTTAGGCATTTGATTTTTTTTTGATGCTATTGGAGATAATATTATTGAAGTATCATTTCATTTTCCAGTTGTTTGTTCCTAGTATATAAAAATACAATTAGGCTGGGCGTGGAGGCTCATGCCTCTAATCCTAGCACTCTGGGAGGTTGAGGTGGGTGGATCGCTCAAGGTCAGGAGTTCAAAACCAGCCTGAGCAAGAGCAAGACCCTGTCTCTACTAAAAATAGAAAGAAATTAATTGTCCAACTAAAAATATATAGATAAAATTAGCCGGGCATGGTGGTGCATGCCTGTAGTCCCAGCTACTCAGGAGGCTGAGGCAGAAGGATCGCTTGAGCCCAGGAGTTTGAGGTTGCTGTGAGCTAGGCTGATGCCACGGCACTCTAGCCTGGGCAACAGAGTGAGACTCTGTCTCAAAAAAAAAAAAATACAATTGATTTTTAAAATTGTAGTAAATTATACATAACATAAAATTTACTATTTTAGCTAGTTTTCATCACCTCACACAGTTTTTTTTTTCTTGGTAGTGAGAACATTTATGATATTTCTTAGCAATATTCAGGTATACGTGATTGTTAACTACAATCACCATGATGTATAGCAGATCTCCAGAACTTATTTATTTTGTCTAACTAAAACTTTGTATCCTTGACCAATATCTTCTCCAGGCCCTGGCAACCACCTTTCTACTCTTTGCTTCTATGAGTTTTGACTTTCTTAGATCTCTCATATAAATAAGATCATGTAATATTTGTCTTTCTGTGCCTGGCTTACTTCACTTAGCATAATGTCTTCCAGGTTCATTCGTATTGTTGCAAATGGCAGAATTTATTTCTTTTTAAAGGCTGAATAATATTATATTACGTATATGAATAGGATACAGAAAATATCATATATATTTTATATATATGAATAGGATATATACATAGGAATATAGGATATATATATATATACACACATATATATGGTGAGTGATGCTGCAATAAACATGGGGGTGTAGGTATTCTTTCAAGATACTGATTTAATTTCTTTTTGGATATATGCCAAGAAGTGGCTTGCTACCAAGAGTGTGTAAGGGATCTCTTTTCTCCATATCTTTGCCAACACTTCTTGTCTTTTATCTTTCTGATAATAACTATTCTAGGTCAGGCGCGGTGGCTCATGCCTATAACCCTAGCACTCTGGGAGGCTGAGTCAGGAGGATTGTTTGAGCTCAGGAGTTCGAGACCAGCCTGAGCAAGAGCGAGACCCTGTCTCCACTAAAAAATAAGAAATAAAAAAAAAATAGAAATAAATTATCTGGACAACTAAAAATGTATAGAAAAAATTAGCCGGGCATGGTGGTGCATGTCTGTAATCCCAGCTACTCAGGAGGCTGAGGCAGCAGGATTGCTTGAGCCCAGGGGTTTGAGATTGCTATGAGCTAGGCTGACGCCATGGCACTCTAGCCCTGGGCAACAGAATGAGACTCTGTCTCAGAAAGAAAAAAGAGAGAAAAATAGCTATGCTAACAGGTGTGATGTTTTCATTTGCATCCCCCTGATGATTAGTGATGTTGAGCACCTTCTCATATAAATTTTGTCTCTTTGTATGTCTCCATTTGAGAAATGTCTATTCATGTCTTTTGCTCATTTTTTTTTTTTTTTTTTGAGACAGTCTCACTCTGTTGCCCGGGCTAAAGTGCCATGGCATCAGCCTAGCTCACAGCAACCTCAAACTCCTGGGCTCAAGAGATCCTCCTGCCCCAGCCTCCCAAGTAGCTGGGACTACAGGCACGCATCACCATGCCTGACTAATTTTTCTATATACTTTTAGTTGGCCAATTAATTTCTTTCTTTTTTTAGTAGAGACGGGCTCTTGGTCTTGCTCAGGCTGGTTTTGAACTCCTGACCTTGAGTGATCCACGTGCCTCGGCCTCCCAGAGTGCTAGGATTACAGGCGTGAGCCACCTCCCCTGGCCTCACTTAGCATTCTTAACTCATCAGTGAGCAGAATGCCTTGACGACCTTGAGTCTGCTGTGCTTAGCTTGGAATTCTGCAGGACCAGCCCCAGTGGGGCTCACAGGCCAGCCGGGAAGGGCTTAACTCAGCAGTTCCAAACCATGGCCACACATCAGAATCCTGCTACCCAGGCCTCACATCAGCCCAATTAAAGCAGAATCTCTGGGTGGGTCCAGACAGCCGTATTTTTTAGTGTCCTGGGGGATTCCAATGTCCCATGTAGGTTGAGAATCACAGACTTAAACCCTTGCCAGGTCAGATTTTAAATGCCCCTCACTGCTGGGGTAGCACCTATGGGGTTCAGCCATCATGATCAGCTGCAGACCTACCAGGCTCACACCACTTACTGCTGTGACTTAGGGGAGGCGAGAGCTGTGTCTGAGCTCCCAGAGGGAGGTCTCTTGGAAGCGAGGGATTCAGTCAGAGAGTCCAGGTACCTGCCTACATCGCTGCCACCTGAAGCTACTAGAAGTGTTGGGTGACTGACTGAACCTGAACCCTCATATCTGCTACAGCGTTTATGGAGACCCATCCCCTAACACACACACACACACACACACACACACACACACACACACACGGGCTTGGGGCTAGGGAAAGCCTCACCCAGCTGCAAGGCATGCAGACCCCTGGCCCCTGCACAGCCCCACTGGTCCTCCCACCCCCGTGTGCAGGGCCCACCACAGAAAGACCCTGGGGAGGGTCGCTGACCTCACTCAGACCTCTTGAGGGAGGTTCAGACACCAACGTCTGAGGGACACAGGGTGACAGTGAGGGACCTTGGGCATGGGTGACAAAGCAGAGACCCTGAGAGACCACGAGAGAGATGGTTGAGCCATAGATGCCAAGGCAGAGGGAGACTCAGCCCAGCGGAGGCCGCGCACCCACCCGAGGCAGGCCCAGCAGAGGGCGTGGCAGCCTGGGGGCCGGACGGGTGGACAGGGAAGGGGGAGGGGCAGGAGGGAGCAGCAAGCTGCTTCTGAGGATATGGCTGGTCTAGAGGCCAGTATGCCCAAACCGATGACTTCCAATGGCAGAGGGACAGCCCTACATAGCCCTAGTCCTCTGCCTGCCACCCGCCCCCAACCCCACCCCTCATCCTTTCTGCGCTCCTCCCCTGCCTGGTTCCTGGCCCAGAGGGGAGGGAAGCCTTGTTCAGCCCCAGGGGAGGCAGGCGGCAGGCACAGCTGCTGCCCCTCAGGTCCTGCTCTGGCCTTCCCCAGGGACAGGCTCTGGCTGGCTCCCTTCCCTCTCTCCCCTCACTCTGCACCCCCTACCTCCCTGGCTGCCTGGAGGCGCAGTGCCTGTCCTGCTGTCGCTCAGCTGAGGTGCCCTGTCCGCCTGGCTCCCTGCCGAGCACCGTGCTGCCCGGAGGCCTGGCGAGCACAGGCCTGTGGAGTCCTGGCCTTCCCAGCTGGCCCTGGCTGCAGCCAGACTCTCTGGTGCCCCACTCTGAAAGGAGATGCCTAGGCAGGGGCTCAGAAAAATAAAGCCCAGTGCCAACTCCCACTGTGGAACGGGCTGAAATCAGAGTGACTGAGGTGCCCCGGGGACAGGGGTTCCGGGCTGCACCAGGGAATGTTTCTGGGTGGAAGGCAGGAGAGTTAAGGGCTGAGCCCTCTTCCATGGGGCAAGTCTGTGGTCAGTAAGTACTTTATTGGGAGAGAGATCCAGCCTCCTTGGCTCTGCCAGCACCCTAGGCCATGAGGATTTCGATGTCGAGCTCCAGCCGGCTGGCTCTGACCTCATAGCGGCCCCGGATCAGGCCCCGGGTTTGGCTGGCATGCCAGCGCCAGTGAGACTGGATGACGCAGGCCGCTTGGCGTGCCTGGAGGAACCGTCTGCGGGCCTGCCACATTCGAACCTGTGCCTGCACCTTCACCACTGCCCACTCCTGGCAGGTGTAGAGTCTTAGTGCCAGGCGCCGTCTCTGCTCCAACATCTTGGCCTGCATCGACCTCCACCAGCACTGGATGACCCATGCCCTGAGTGCTGCGTGCAGTAACGTCCGGCGCACCAGGTTGCCACGCCACCATGACTGAATCTTTATGGCTGCCTTCTCTAACTGATTGGGGGAAAGGAAGAAGACGCAGGCGCTCAGTGGCACACCGTGACATTCCTATCCCCACCTGCAGTCTTGGGAGGAAGGGGGCCTGGCCCAGGTGGCCCTGCCCTCTTGTGTCTAGTCATCTTATCTCCAACCCCCAGTCACCTCTAGACACTGCCCATTATCCGCTGGGCAGGTCCCTCCTGTAAGGGCCTTACTCACATTTTGTGTGGCCATGGTCCTGGGCTGTAGAATCCACTCATCTGTCATTTAGGCCACCCTAGTCTTTAGCCCCGCCCCCAACTGTTAGTCACACCTCATCATTGGACTCCGCCCACCTGCACACAGCCTCCACCTCATCAGGTGCTGTCTGCCCGCATTTTAAGCACGTTCGTCTCTCTTCTCTTGCTTACATCTCCTTCTGGACTGACCAGTCACTTCATGTATTGATTTCCGTCATTTGGGGGGCCTACCATTACCTCTTGCCTTCAGTCTGTTTCTCAGACCCAGTGGCATTTCAGTTCCTCCTGGGGGCAGTGAAGAGATTCACACAACTTATCTCCAAGGACGGGGTTTTACTTTAAGGCTACTCATAGCCTGCGTGGATTTCCTGAAGCTAAAGTGTTAGGGCTCCTGGCAGGGCCCTGAGCAACGTGTGCACAGAATGGTATGTTTTTGAGTAAAATTTGTGAAAGCAAGATGCTTCAGCTGCAATTGGAGAGTAACTTTGAATCTTTTCCGTCTGACTCCCTCTGTCACTCTCCTCCTGTTGCGTGGTGTGGAATGCCGGTCTCTTCTGGGATGTGACCAGGGGGGCGCTGAGTGCAGATAGACTCACTTCGAGTTTAACAGCAGAGATTCAGGTGGTTCACAGTCACCTTAGGGAAGAGACAAGTTTTTGCTGGCCATTCCGCAGTTGCTGGGCTCACTCACCTGTGCCATAGCTAGCACAAAGGTGAGGGACAGAAGTGGTGCTACCATGATGAAAACATGTCCTACAGTGCCTGGCACCAGAACTATGTGGGCAGGGGAGGGAAAGTAAGTTTGAAAAGTATGGAACCAGAAACTAGTCTGTAGAAAATTCTTCCTGTTATCAGACACGTAAAAGTGCAAGTGGAAGATTTCTATTCTCGTTGATGCCTGACTAAAACTGAAGTTCTCTTTCGTCAGGAATATATTTGACAATGCAATAATGCAATTATAATGCAATATCATATTTTTCTTCTTTTTTAATGGGAATTTTTTGAAATCGAATTTTTCTGAATCTCTGTGATTGTAAGGCACAAACCAGTGGAACTACTATGAACAGTGTGGAAACTGGCATGACAAATCAAGTTTGATGCACACCAGTGTGAGTAATAAACAGATTTCTATAGAAAATGAGAGTGTAAAATCATATGAAAAAGCACTCAAAGCTAATGTAGCTAAAAAATGTAGGAAAAACATTTTAGAGGTGGGTCAATTAATTAATATAAACATTATGTTATGTTTGAGATATTTCATTTTTTAAGACCCCCCCAGAGATATTTATCGACTTAAAAACATTTGTAATTTGTTGTGATTTCTTTTCTCATCTTAAATAAATACTCAATTTTACATCTGTAATATTGGATGCTTTTTTCATAAAGCAGTCTTTCCAAATGATATAAGCTTCAGGGCCCACGAAACCTGGAGCTGCTCTGCCATGCTGTAAGAATGCGACTGTGCAGCCAGACCTCCTGGGAGCTCACAAGAGCTGTGTTTCCAGGATTCAGAATTAGCACTGGCACTGCAGACTCAGGTGATGCGGAGATGCTGGGAGTCCTTTGGGATCTGGAAGGCCGCTCTGGCTCTGGCTTTAGCATACATTCATTGTTCATTTTTCTGCATGAGCAATTCCTGGGTGCCACAGCTCGTAGGGCCATGTATGATACCATAGATGGCTCCTGTTCATGTGTATTCAAGGCTCCCGCTGCCTTGTACCATTGTTATGGTGCTGTTCATCTGGATGTCTTACGGGTTCTGGCCATGCTATCAACCCAGCAACCTCTTTGCATCATGTTTAACCCTTTGCACTCGCTTGCTTTTTTCTCATCATCCACTCGACATTATCCACACTCAACATCCGAGTGCAAAGGGTTAAAGTCCTCAAAAGAGTGGATTCTATTACTTCCTTGAATGATCGTTAATCTGAGTGAGCAGAGAGCACTGGTACCAGCCATCTCAAAGGCCTTCATCTCTGTATTAAATTGTCAGTCCTTGTGTCAGACACCCACTGCTGCAGAAGGGATCACTTAGAAGGGGGCTATAGGCGTGGCCATTGTTTGGGGGCTCAGCCCATTCAGGCCAGGTTGCCTGGGTCAAGATGCCACATGCCACAGTTCCTCCTTGGGGATCTCTCCCCTCTCCCGCTCTGGCTTGGTGACAGTTGCCATAATTTCCTGGCTTTGTCTTTTTCTTGGATGTCCCTGGAAAAACCTGCCCACCCCCTTTATGTTCACAGTTTTGCAATTGCTCACAAAGTAGCAGCAAATGGGGTTGGGGTTAAGATGATTCTTACTGTTTTCACACACCACAATCCCTGGTCTCTATTTCCTTAGTGCTCCCTCCCCAGATTCCTGTTCTCTTCTTTATGCTTCTTGCTTCTTCTTCTTCTTGCTTTTTTCCCCCCTGATTATAAGTATAGTGCCTGTCCATTGATGAAATTTCAATGTGCAGAAACATATGAGGTGGAAAGGGAATTTACCATGAAATTTGCACATATTGGCTTAAATTTTTCTGTTAAAATAATTTATTTTTTGAAAATGTATAGATAGTTGCAAAAAAGAAGAAAGACAGAAAAGAAAAAAAATAATTATTTAAAAAGGAAACAAAAAAGAAAAAATAACATAAAAATAATTTATTTTTAAATAAATAAAACATAAATATATTCTTATAAAAATTCATACATTTCAAACCAAAATTTCCCTCAAGGTTTCTTCCCCTGCACTACTCCTCCTCCTGGCTTGGAGGGTATCTCAGACACTCAGGTATACGTTTATAGATGCAGTACCTCTCTGTAGCTAAAAAATTATATAATGCTGTTTTGTGTGTTTCTATGTATCGTTTTTATCAATTGAAGTAAATCTCATAACATAAAATGACCATTTTAACCATTTTAAATTCAGTGTCCAATTCACTGTACAATTCAATGGCTTTTAGTACGTTTACTATGTTCTACAACTATCACCACTATCTAATACCAATTTCTAATTTTATCTAATTTCAAAAAGAAACCTTGTATCCATTAAGCAGTCACTCCACATTACCTTTTTCCCACCAGACCCTGGAAATCACTAATCTGCTTTTAGTCTCTGGATTTGCCTGTTCCGGACATTTCACATAAATGGAATCATACAATATATGATCTTTTGCGTTTGGCTTCTTTTACTTAGCATAATAATGTTTTCAGGTTTAATCTATGTTGTAGCATTCCTTGTTATGGCTGAATAATATTTCACTGTATGGATGTATCACATTTCGTCCATATATTCATCAGTTGATGGGAACTTGAGTTGCTTCTACTCTGGCGATAGTGAAGAGTGCAGCTATGAATATTCATGTATGAGTATTTGTTTGGACACCGGACACCTGATTTCAATTCTTTTGGATAAATACCTAGGAGTGAAATTGCTTGGCTGTGTGGTAATTCTGTGTCTGATTCTTTGAGGAACCACAAAACTGTTTTTCATCCAGTTGAAGCATTTTATATTTCCACCAATCTCTGCAACCTTCCTATCACTTGTTATTTTCTGTTTTTTTAAAAAAAATTATAGTCATCCTAATGGGTATGAAGTGGTATCTCATTGTGATTATGACTTTCATTTCCTTAAGACTAATGATGTTGAGCATATTTTTATGTGGTTGTTGGCTATTTGTGTATCTTTTTTGGAGAAATGTCTATTCAAGTCCTTTGCTCACTTTTTAATTGGCTTATTTGTCTTTTTGTTGTTGAGTTATAAGAATTCTTTATATATTCTGGACACCAAACCTTTATCAGATATATGATTTGAAAATATTTTCTCTATTTTGTAGGTCATCTTTTACTTTCTTCATAATGTTCTTTGATGCACAAAAGTTTTTAATTTTGATGAAGTTCAATTTACCTATTTACCTATTTTTCCTTTGTGGCTTGTGCTTTGGTGTCATAGCTAAGAATCCATTGCCAAACCCAAGGTCATGAAGATTTACCTCTGTGTCTTATTCTAAGGGTTTTATAGCTTTATCTATTACTTTACTCTATCTATTACTTGGATCAATTTTGTATATGTTGTGAGGTAAAAATCCAACTTCATTCTTCTTCACGGAATTATTCAGTTGTCCCAGCACCTGTATTGAAGAAAATATTCTTTTCCTCAAGTCTTGGTACTATCGTTGAAAATCAATTAAACATAGATGTATGGTTTATTTCTGATATTTCAATTTTATTCTATCAATCTATGTGTCTGTCTTTACGATAGATAGTACCATACTGTCTTGATTACTGTAACTTCATAGTAAGTTTTGAAATTGGGAAGTATGAGTCCTCAAACTTTGTTTCTCTTTTTCAAGATTGTTTTGGCTATTCTGAGTCCCTTACAATTCCATATGAATTGTAAGATTAGCTTGTTCATTCTGCAAAGAAAAGCAGTAGGATCTGTCTATCAATTTGGGGAATATTAAGTCTTCCCATCCATGAACACAGAATATCTTTCCATTTACTTAGATCTTTAATTTCTTTCAACAATGTTTTATAGTTTTATAAGCTTATTCCTAGGCATAGCATTCTTTTTGATGCTATTATAAATAGAATTGTTTTCTTAATTTCATTTAAAAAAAATTTTAAATAAACATTAAATTGAGTACAAATAGTCTGAAAGTTATTTTGGTGGAAATTGCCCAATCTGTGTGCTGACATTAGCAGCAGGATGTTCTAAATAAACTCTGTTAAAAGAAATGTTTTCTTCTTTAGTTGTGACATAACTGATCAGATTCAATTCTTCCGAAGGATTATGGGAGGGAAGAAACATTTTTTAGTTGGAAAAGAACTCTTCATTCATAGTCTCAGAACAAATGCATAACTGCCAAAGTGCCAGGGAAGTTGGAGCTGGGTATTTGGATATTGTACAGTGACTTCAAAGTAGAGAACCAAAAGTAGAAAAACAACCAACAGCTACCAATATTTGCCTATCGGTTAGTTATCCAAGGTCCATGGGCCTGATTCAGTTCCTCTCTAACTCTAAAAGGATTTTTCCTTCCTGATAAAGCCCTGCATATTTGAATCTAATCCAACATGTAATACATGCTTGCCTC